ACGCAGCCCTTCTGCGAGAATGACGTGCTAATTGTTAATACAGCTCTCCGCGTGGTCGATTGCCCTTTCTTCGCCTTCCGTGCTGACTTTGGCAACAACGGTCGGGTAAGACCACAGTTCGTGTAAATTACGAGTATCAGACGCGGGTCATAATAGAAGGTGAGAGATTGACGAAGCGGTTTACAATTTAAAAAATAATTTCACGTGCAACATATCCTTTCGTGTACTTATTTTGTGGGCAACTATTTTCCTCAAGAGCTACACTTGAAGCAAAGTACGCATTCGGGTCAGGTAGTTCATTCAATGCCTACATAGATTCCAACCGGGAACCTGCTTTTTGAGAAGATTCGGTCGCTCGGTCAACACTTTTATTTGCCTGACGTTTCGACATCCGTAGCGGATTCTTCATCAGACATGAGCAGACTCGTTTCTGCAACCCGCTTTTTGCCTGCTCCGAAGATTTATAAGTGGCAGTTGACAAAAATAACGCCATGCACCCTCCCAACTTCATGTGCTCACTCGTAAAATCTGAGCCAGAATGTTGCTCTGCTAAACACAATCTCGCAGCCGCGCACATACAAAAAAACAATGAAGGCAAAACCTCCATGAACCCTTGTCTGGAGATTTTATTAATTTTGAACAAGCATCCTGGGAAGAAACGCATATTAAGCAGATGTCATCCGCAGCTACTCGATATTGCGAATCCCGCCAGTAAGCTTTTTAATGTGAAGCGAGGTCGACCAGCATTTCTGCCATGGTTTAAGAAAATTCACGTAGCGAAGACACTTACTGATGTAGTCTGCCGTAAAGGCGGATATCTCCTGCACACACTGGACAAGGAAGTTTTCGCGGACTGCGTTGCCGAGGAAGTGCAGCAGCTTACCTTCACCGACCTTTTGGAGGAGAAGAAAAAAAGTAGAGCAGACAGTTAGCAAAATTTGCAGTTGCATAAGGGCGTTATATCGGCTTTTTTAGACTCACTGCAGTGAACGGAAGACAAGGTTGCCGAATTTCAATATACTTTCAACGGGTGTACAGGGGAAATGGTTACCTACGCGCAAAGTCGTAGCTACGCCGGCGAGACGTGCGACAAAATCGCACCGATCCCAAATTTTGGCAAGAGCTTCCGTAGGTCAAAAACGTTTCGGAAGCCGTTGGCCGCCCGACGAATAGCATCAATTCGAGAAACACTATCATCCTGACTCTCTACATTTGACAGCAACCTCGCCCCGAGTTAGGAACCGAGAAGGTGGAACGAATTTCGGCGTGTTTGCAAACTCTAAGTGAATTCAGAACACCACAATAAGCCAACCCAAATTACGTTTTGGGGAGGACGAGGAAAACGTCAGCAGGTTCCGTAAAGAAGCTCAGGTGTGGTCAGAGCCCCCGTGTCAGCTTGGTGAAGTGATTGGATTACTCGGAAATAGAAAATGCGATCGCTGGAAGAAGAATTTTATTTGCTTGACGTTTCGGACTCTGTCAAGAATCCTTAAGCATAGGTAGCCGTAGAATAGTGTGAGGCATGTACAGATGGGGGTGATCTATGCACAGATTGCGCGGTATTTATAACGCCTAGCAGCCACCCGCATGCGTACAATAATTATCAGCTCCTGTAACCAACGCTTGGGACCTTAACTGGTACAGTGAGGGCTTGGCGGTTCGCTTTCGAGACTTTAATGGCCGCGATTTCGTTGTCTGTGTTGGATGCGGGCTTGATAATTGCGTTACAATTATGTTCGCTGTTGTCGGTGGACTCGGTGATCGCCCGTGACTGACTGTCCAGGAGAGACTGCATACGAGCAGGTTTCGGCGGCTCGGGAACAACGATCAAGTGACTCCTAACACGGCATAACCGCCAGAGGTGGGCGGCGTTATAAATCTTCTTACTCAGGTTAGTTGTCACCGTAACACGCCGTCCTTCTGTCTGTCTCTCCAACCAGCCCTCAGTCTCTCCAAAACGTTTTTGGATTTCAGCAGTCAAGGGGATGATAGCGAACAGCACTCACCAGCTCATTGATGGGAGACAGAACCAACACAGACAGTGGGGTGTAGTAGTTGGAGGCGTCGTTCACCTCCGGCTTCGTGGACCGTTTCCAATCCTGCATATAGACAGGAAAACAAAAATGGGTAAATGCGTAGATTAAGAAAATAAGGTGTGATTCGAAAAGGCCTTTTGCATTAAGAAGGAAATGCTTTGAAATATTTTAACAGGACGCTGCACGATAAGTAACATTACAACCCTACTTGAGCAAATTTTTCGAATCGAAAACACACTTAAGAATTTCGACTAATACTTCATGAGATGGCACATATATAGGTTTTTATCGGAGGGGTTGGGGGTTAACTGAAAAGGCCTGATGATTGACAGAAGAAAGTATCCAGTCCTTGTCAAACCAACAAAACGCCTTAACTTTCCATTACTCCAAAGAGTCTGATGCAAAGTGTCTAAGGGCTAAATGACACTTTCAAGTTCCCTGAGCCCTCACGCATCTCTCCCCTTCTTTACGCCAAATACACCGTCTTCCACTTCCCGCGTTCTCTTTCAAACTTTTTTGCCCATTATTTTCACTCATGCTTTGCTTCGCCATCCTACCTGTGCTAGGTGATAACATGAACCAACAACATGAGCCGGACCCCTCGCAGTTGTGTCAAGCAGCGACAGAATACCGGCGAAACACGTGTCTGGGCCTTTTACCTAGTACCTGGGCTGTTAGTATGGTAAGTTATAACATCAATTTATACTACTAAAGTCTGTCGGCAGGAAGTGGATATTTCGCAGTGGTTGACGGGTTTCAACCCAAATGTACACTTACAATTTCGGTCTACGCCTATAGACCTTAAATACACTGATATATACCGCGAACAGAAATTAATTTCTCAGAGGATTAAAAAGTTGAACTTTCAAAACCGGCATATCAAACAGAAAGCAGACAGGGAAAGCTGAGGGACCCACTGATGAGCCGGAC